GCCCAACAAAGTGAGTGGCAACCCGGAACGAATGACCCAAGCACTTTGTATGAGGAATTGGAGATCCCAATCACTAGGCAATGCAAACGGGGTACTATGATCCTCACCATGAACTGAGATTTTGCAAATGATTGAAGAAACGTCCTGATTGCAAGGCAACAAACTTGACAGCATCCCTTGACAAAAGTGATTTAAAAAAGAAACGATGCATTGGTCTTGTCTTGTGATACATCATCTGATCTTGGACTGTCTGCTGCTTTGCTTTTTATACCTATACAGACTAATTATATCCAACTTGCTAAGTTTGATTGCAAATATAGTCAGTTCTGCTTGGTTGGTTCAATTCATTTCAATTCATTGGACGTTGCATTGGTTGGAGGCCCTGCTGTATCTTGCCGCAAGAATGTCGATATGATCTTTGCGTTCACTTCTCGGAAATCTTCGTCTGACCGATCTCTTCCTGACTCCCTCAGTTTCCCTTGAGAAAAAAAGCTGAACCACACTTTCCATCGGTGCATCGGTTCAAGTGGGGTGTTCCCAATCCCCCAACAAAAGGTGAACTGTGGGTGATCCACCTACTTTGGGGAGTGAGACCTAGAGGTTAGACTCAGCTTGGAGGCCATCGCTCGGATGGAGGCCATCGCTATTAGGTTCCACTAGTCTCTCTCTCTCTCTCGCGCCTCGGCCACCTCCGGCGCCATCGATGGCAGGTGCCTGACTAAAGCGACCGATGACGTCGACCGCGGTCGATGGAGCTGCTGAGTTTTGCCTCAGATCTTGCGATCCGGCGAAGAAGGTCGAACCTCCCCAGACCCATTTTCAGAGGGACAAAGACCCGGCTAGTGAAGCCAGGCTCCGAATCATTGAATCGTTGAATCGGTTCTCCAAACACGATGTGAATGGCATGGCCCCAGGGAAACGGATGAGTCTCTCTGCCAACAGTGGGGCGGTTTCACCGCGTGCAACCCCGAACCTTCTGGACGCCTGAAAGGGTCCAAGGTATAGCCCTGTCGCTCTGTTCTGTTGTCAACATGGAGCCTGCCAGACCGGCCAGCGCTTGCTTTCAGACCAAAAGCAGCGCGGAAAGAAGAAGTGTTCTCTGTTTCTTGTGCATGTCGAGAGTGAGCCAGTAATCACCCAACGTGAGATGATTCATCTCTTCGGAGGAGCCAATGTGCACTTGATCAAATTCGTCACATGCAATCAGTCGTGAGTGAGGACATGATTAGGATCATGGAAGAGGGATCTTGTAACCTGAAACACTTTTGGCTTCTTCATTCTCGCCTGCAATTCCACTCCAAGGAATGCGGCCATTTTCTCTGTTTAAATGTCCGCCTTTGGCGAGATGTGTTTTACCTTTTGGACGGGTGCGTTTTCCAGCATAGAGATCATGAGATCCCTTCCCCTTTGAGGTGTTTTAGGGAAGGGTGGTTCTGGATCCAAGAGTTCCTCAACAAATGTGTTGTCAAAGCACTCATCTTAGCTTCCTAAAAGCTTGTTCTCTTCAAAACCGGCTTTGAAGCTGGAGATGAACTGAGAACCACCCAGGGCGCCGGCGTACTACTTGCACAGGCAGCTTGGGTCAGTCAGTTCAACCAGCTGAGTGATGTTGCTGAGGGTTGAAGGGGCGCGCTCGGGGTGTCGAAGAAAACCCCCATGCTCCCGCCCGAGCCCTGAGCTGGGGAAGACGAGCCGTCGCAGAGCCGTCGCTCCCGAGCCCCCGGCGGGCGCGGTTGCAATAGCTGTTCAGCTATACAATCACATTCCCAAAGCTTCAGGCGTGGGTCAAAAGGACAACTCCAGTCTCCAGGATCCGGTCTTCAATTGCGAAACCGGTCTTCAAAATAGAGAACCCGTCGACATCAATTGATATATCTGGACCCCGGTCTCAGGATCCTCTTTGCTTGGTTTCGGGCCGTCGGGTCATCTTCTAACCCAAACCCTGCCTCGGCTTGGCGGCGGCCGCGGAGGCTGCCGAGGCCTCGCCACATCGAGCAAAACCGCCTTTGTCGTGTTCCATTTCAACGGAGGACAGACGATTCATGAGATGGAGAGGCTCGGGCATGTCGGACCATGTCGGACCATGTCGGAGACGCCTAGGAATTCCAAGATGCGGGACCCCCATCGATCAAACGGCTCGCGGTTCCACGGTCGATCTGGTCATGGCGAAGACGGCGGCGGGGCGGATGGCACCTGCCGACCCTGTTCCGGTGGACCCGACCGAAGCGTGACGTGGATTTGTCGTCGGGAGCCGAGCCGTGAATCGACGATTCGGTGGTTCTGATGGGAAAAGCAGGGAAGACAAGCTCAGGATAGCTCAGGTGCCATATGATGCCATGATGCCCAGTGGAAGACTCCTGGAAGACCTAGAAACCAGGGGGTTCCACATCCATGTGCTGCTGTTCCGGAGAGACCTGATTTCTTTCTCCCACTGTCACCTGGAGATGGACATGATGGTCTTCCACTTCACCGGACCCACTTGAAGGAGAGTGGAGGTATCTCGTTTTCAGAGACACCCAAGGTGGAGGTTGCTGATGCATTACACCCATGCTTTCCTTGGCAGGGATCCTCCAAGTAGTCTTTTCCAGCCTGATCAAATCTGATCAAGTTTGGTAGTGACAATGGTAGTTGCAGGAGAAGGACAAAGAGAGTGGGTCCCTGCATCTTTGGGACTACAAGGAAACGAAAGATCATCAGCCAGTGAGCCGTTTTCACAAGGGTCAACATCTATAATACCTGCTGTAGAGCTTTTTGCAATAGCTCCTAGACCCACACATGTACATAACTTAGGGTTATTCACCATGATACCATACTCAAGGAACATGTCCAGACATGTCCAGACTCCAGACCATCGAAAACGCTTTTTTGGGGGGGAGATCCCGTGACCCAGAGGCGACCAAGCACGTCACCGGGTCTGACCAGAGCAAAGCGAGACAAACCAGGTCAGTGGCCACGTCTTAGCACGTCTCAGCGACCAAGCACGTATGGCTCCCTTCGACTTGAAAGGTCGGAAATGGACTCGTTTTTTTCCAAGCCCACCTCCGTTTCGAAGATGGTTGGGGTGGGTGCCTGGGGGGTCTAACCACCGAAACTGAGGAGATGGGACAGGAACCCTCCAGATCCCACAACAGCACAAGAAGGGTCTGGGCCGCCTGTCTAAGAGTGGGTCAATGATCTCTGATCAAGCAAGACCTGGTCCTTGACCTCATTGAGTACTCCTTTTGTATGACCAACTCCAGTGACAACGCCCCTATGAAAAGGTGTTGTTCAATCCAAATGGGTGTGATGAATTGAGGGATATGATCCATTCACTCCAATCCCCATCGACGGTGACCGCTTGCCTGAGGCCAGGTACTAGGCTGCACCCCTCAGCAAACCCGCTGAAGGGGTGGGCTAAGACGTTGGGGTCTTAGGGAGTTCCTTCCAATATGCTCCCCCACCTAAGAGCCCCAAGTCCAAAATGCTATATCCAAGGCCCCTTCCATTTGAGGGCCTTATTCTTAGAGCTCTATCTATCCAATCTTATCCTGGTGCATAGGGACTCTGGACCTGTTCAACGATGCTCCTTGAGATTGCGGACAAACCTGCTGTGCTTCTCCAGGATCACTGTAAATAGATATAGAGAGGATGATCACGGTGATGCCCAACATCGTCGACGCGCAATAAGAGACAATAATTTCACTGTCAATAGTTATATACATAGCAACACCATCGACCATGCTATATAACCTCGGTGCCTTCAGAGATGGCCCAAATGGGCCCAAAGAAAAGTATTTGGTCCCTCACAATTCCTTTATCGATCACCTTCCAAGGAATTTGGCTACCTTAGGACCTTTTCCCTCGCAAACACCGCCCACGACACCTCTGACTGGGCCCCTTTATGGATCTGGGGCCCAAAGAATCGATTCAAACGCGGGGTCGAAGCAGACCACCCAACTGCGAGACCATGAGGAGTTGAAGCCATGTATTTATCTTCTTATGGAGCCAATGACCACAGACGTCAACCCAGGGTGGCTGGGCCTTTCTGAGTCTGAAGCAGACGAGCTGCTCGACGTTTTGGCGGCACAAACATAAGAAAAGGTGATGTCCCCAAAGAAATCACCTTCAAAAAAAAAAAGGACTCCGCGATCTTTTACGCTTGACCTTCTTTAAAGTAAAGCGCGTTCCAAAACATGTTCAGACACCTCAGCACCAAAGTTCATCACCTCTCAACACCCTCCAACGCCCTTGCTCCACTGGCTCCCCAGCGCGGCCGTTTGGACGGCGCCCCCATCACGCCCTGGACGGCGCCACTCACGCGGAGTCCAGTCGACGGGACACGTCGTCTTCGTGGAGCCGGCGAAATGGCCTGGATGCAAATGTTTCATGAAAACACTTGTTTAAGAATAATTCATGTATGTTTCAGTTCCAGTTCGACCACATTTTACACAAAAAAATGATAAAGAGTGTGGTTTGTCCCTCGGATGTCCTTCAGTTTGCCTGGAAAAGAAGGGTGAACTGACCATTCCACCTGTTGTCCCCCAAAAAGGTGACCTGATCCACCTACTTCCTGGGTAAGTTCGGCACCAGCTCTGTGACTCCTAAGAGTTTCTTCAGGTGACCGAACCCACCAGGGGATCGTTCGTTCGGCCACGGAAGCACCACCTTAAGATAGGAGATCCACGTCGAGGTGCCGGGAGGGCAGAACAACTTACATTCTTTTTGGTGGATTCCAAGATGTTCATTTTCCAACCGGACCCAGACCAAGAATTTCCCATTTCCACACATTGCCAAAAGGTTCGGCAATCCCACGGCCGCCCACTGAACAACCGGAGGAAAATTGTTGATTGGTCCCAAAAAAAACGAGGTGCAAAACTTCGATAGGTCCCCCCGTCCCCTCCTCCACGAACTCTCCCTTTTCGTTGGACCTGGGTGTCCCACACAGACTTCGTTGCAACTGACAGCTGAACACAGGGGGCAAACCAGACCCGGGGCTGAAACCCAAAAAAAACGCAAAACCTGCAATGATAGATTTCTTGCACTAGCGAAATATGCTTTCAGATTCCCCTTCTAGTGGTTTCCCCCGATTGGAAAATCAAACATCACATCAACAGAGACCAAGGGTGCGTGGCGCGCGTTTTCCTATCAATGCACCAGGCATGGCATTTAGCAGGTCGATTGCCTGCATTTTGCAAACCAGTTCTGGCACGTGAAATGATTTTCGACGGGTCGGTTGGCCGAACCGTCTTTGAGTTCGACAGACCTCTGGGCAATACGGATCCATCATCGACTGCGGAGAAGGTGGCCGGCGAAGACATGGTCGAAAAACACAAGCCATAACCATCGTTGAATAAAACCCCCCCACCAAAACCCAAACACTCCATATATGCATATTGGAACATGTGCCTACCTGACCTTTTTCAGCCACTTTAATGATCAGCAAACATGCCAGTCCTATGGACTATGGAGTGTCTGGGTGAAGGTCGCTGATTGCAGGCCCTGATTCTGGTCAAGCCCCCCAAAACTTCAGCTCTGTATCGCATATACATATATACATATAATATATATATATATATGTGCGCTACCCCCCAAAAAGACTCTACTTTGTTCGCGTTTACAGGTGCCCTTGCTGTTTGCAGATGTTGAGACACTGTCATGAATGCACCAAATGGAAGTAGAAGACACAAGTTAGACATTGAAAGGAATTGTGGTTAGTGGAGCTCTCAAGCAGGTTTTTTCTCCACGCGGTTGCGCCGTCGATTGGCTTTGTAAAAAGCACTGCGCAAGTTCACATATGTGCAGACCTGGCTCACGCAAGCCCTGGCAAAGCAACCTGGCAGTTCGTCTCAAGAAGTTTGCCCTGGACTTTCCTGAGGTCAGCTTGGGTGGCAAAACTGTGTTCAAACTCTTTCTTGACGCTTTCAGGTCTAGGCCATCATCGTCTATAACCTGGAGGACGTCAGTGTCACGGCCCTTGTCCGCCCCTTCTTGTCGGCATCAGAGGCAGAACGTGAAGAGAAGAGAAGCTAGAAAAGGATGAGGCTGCCTTCTCTTTGTGCTTCATAGCCAGCATGGCCTTGGCATTGGCCCTGGCAAGCCGAAGTGTTCCAAACAAAGCTCACCCCGAATGTTCCATTGCTTGGACTCGGGACGTCAAAGCATGCTGGGCATTGCGCATAGCAGTGCTCACTGGGAGGGTCGCCGGCTCCAACCAAAAAAGTTAATTGCTTCGTCCACTTTGAAAGGGTGTTGGCAGGGACGGCCCTGCAGAGGGAGAGAGAAATAGAAAGTTGCCACAACCAGGCAATCATCGCTTCTTTGCACCAAGAGCCACAACTGCACTGATACAATCTCTCTCTCTCTCTCTGGGGTTCTCTTCTTTTCTTTTGTCGATTCGTTTCTTTTTAGTGTCTTTTCTTTTCTGTTTTTCTTTCTGCCTTTCTCTCTTTCTTTTTTGCTTCCTTTCTTTTTGCTTTGCTCTGCTTTCTCTTTCTGTCTTTCTACTTTTGCTCAGTGCTTTTAGGAAAGACTTCATCCGGACCCCTTGCAACCATGACAGCCCCTTTGGGACAACCTCGCCGGAGTGTCGCTGTTCAACCGGCGCGCTCTTGCACCATACCCTTGCGGATATGGTCCGCCGCACTCAAGAACTTCTCCGATCACAACTCATCACAGCCAAAATAGGTGCTTACCCTCGGTTGTTTCTGACCTGTTCAAGTGAACATCTTGCGCAGCAACCCTGCACCGCCCGAGTCGCACGTGTGCCAAGCCACGATTGCAAATGTCGTTGCGTAAGGTCCGGCCACTGCCACCGAGGCATGAAAAACAAGAATGCCCACAGGAACCGAGTTGCCAGGGCATCTTACAATGTCCTCAAGTTTGTCTCCGAAAAGCCGCAAACGATGTGATGTAGCACATTATGCAAGTTCAGTCTGCTCGTTCAATGTGATGATGTACCCGGCCTAATGCTGCCAAGATGCCGCACAACGAAGAAACCTTGCTCCGCTGGAAGCCCCATGCAGAAAGAATAAAGCGCCGGGCTCACCCGGTTCCTTACTGGCCTGCTGATTATTGATTATCATGCTTGAGGCCACTTTGAGATCAATCCATGTGCCTTAAGTGATTCAACTGAACGCAGCTAGTGTGTGCTTTTACAGCCTTTTGGGCTAGACAGGAAGCCTGTATTGACTGATCGTGTCCAAGTTTACGAAGCTGGTGATTCAGCCGCGCGCAAAAGCCGACGGCGGCAATGGTTTCAATCGCTGAAAGGCTTTGAACAACAATGTGTTCCTAAGGGCAGGACAAAAATCGCCCAGCCTGCGCGAAAACAACTAAAGCACGAGCGTCGACCGCGGGGAACTTTTGAAAGCCGGCTTCGGGCCAAAACAAAGGCAGAGAGGGCCCAAGCTTGCAAAGAGAACCGAGTCTTCTTCAAGAGAAACTTCTGGTTGGCTCTGTGTCTTGAAATGGTACAATAGCTTCCTTTCGACACAAATTGTGAGAATCAAAGACATTAAAGTCTCGCACGTGGACAGTGGCCCGGCTTTTTTCCGCCATGCAAGACGCAAGCTGTGAAAAGAATGCCTCCAACCATACAACGCAAACTTTCTCATTACTACACAAAACATGTGAAGCTAAATCGTTGACCCTATTCAAAACCGGTAGCAACTGCCGAAGGCCTTCAAGACAGAACAGCTGTATCGGATGTGGGTGAAACATTAATTCAGTATATGATGGATCTTCATTGGAACAAGTCGCGCGCTTGATACTTGGTTTCTGAATGCGCGATTCTTTTTGATCATCTGAGGTTGCAGGTATTCGTATAATATATACAGTGTCACACTTGATGCTTGCTGTTTGCGCGTTCCTTTTGCCACCTCAAGGACATGAATCCTGACCGCAACATCTTAGGTGTTGTTAGAACACGCACGCATCAGCGTAGCCCATCCTTCGCCTTTGAGGCCAAATGAGAGCCATTTCTGCTGTGGGCTTTGCAGGAAGGGGAAAGAGATTGGATTCTGCATGAACTTTTTACTTTTTTCAGTGCAGAATGCAATTGTGTCACATCTCTCCCACACCCAACGCCCTGGAACGCATGGGCCCCATGTTCTTTTTCCAAAAAAACTCTCGAGGCGCCTGGCTCAGCTGCCGCTCAGGCTGCCCGGCCACTGCTGCCCGTCTTTGCTCCATTTATTTCCGTCGCAAAAACAATTTCAATGCCGCGAGCGCGAACACATCCAATGGTTGCGCCAGGCTACTGGCTACTGGCACACGCTGGGGCAAAGAAGCTGGATCCCTTTTTTTTTTCGGGCAAACATGGTGACCCTCTGTGGCAAATGGGGAGCGGCAGTGTCAAAAAGCAAAATGGGCTTCACCTTTGTCGCCAACATGCCCACCCACCGCGTCGCCCAACAGGCCGAGCAGCCACCTGGGCTGGTTGACAGGACCACGGATGAAGAGCTCGAAGTCGAAGAAGGCACCTGCAAAGCGACGAGCCAGCGACCGGAGACGACAACCAACCGGACCACCATGACCACAGCCAGAACCAGCCAAGCTAACGTTGGTCAACATATAACCTCAGGTGCCCAAACGAGCAATTTCAAAGCAATGGTGGGATGGAGACTTCATTGCTTTTCGCCTCGCGCCGCGGCATGACACCCAAACGCCGCAAGCGCCAGCGCAAGGCTGCTGCAACCGGGCAGCCGGCAGCGCCGTGCATCAGCCGCTGGCGTATCAGACACCGAATGGCATGGAGCGGCGAAACAGAAGATTGAAAAGTGCTATCCACAACGCAACATAACGTTGCCATAAGAAAACAAAGAGAACGTTGAGAAGGCTCATTCCCTCGAAAAGTGCGTTTAGAAGGGCCCTTGAAAGCGCTAGAAGTAACAAAGTCCACAGGCTGGGGAGGGTCAGATTGCGGCTTTGCCGTGATCTTGTGCTCTGCTTCTCATTTCTGTGATACAGCCCTTCCTCTCAAAAATGTTCTGCTTCCAAGGATGACCGAAGGGTTTCCGAAAGCTGCTTCTGGAGGTGGTCCCAAACATAAACCCCAGTAACAAGGGCAACCGGACGCAACCAAACAGTCTGCGTCACATGTTTCCTTTTTTGCCAATCCTGTAATGGAGCCAAATCAGGTTAAGCTTCGGTGAAATCAGGATAAGGCTTCTGATTTGGAATCCCGTAAAGGAGATAAATAAGGCAATTCCCCCGAAATTCAGAATCAAAAACAAGTAGAAGATTTCAATTTTGTTTAATTCGAGATTGTTTACAGTATTTGGCTCTCTGCCTCTGCGATTT